TCTCTACCCTTCTGGTCTGTTCTCGTTTATTCTGTCTTCCTCTTTTCCATCATTTCTTCCTTTCCGTTATCGGTTCTCTCGCTTGTCGTTTTTTGGCTTACTGCTTTCTTACCCTTTCTTGCTGCTTTCTCGTCTTTCGCTGTTTCGGCGTTCCTGTACTCACTTTGCTTTGCTCCTTCTTTCTTGTCTTTCTTTACTATTTCCTGTTTCCTTTCTGTTCCTCTTGTATTATTTTTTTCCCGTTTCTCTCGATGGCTTTCTCTTTTGCTTCTTACTGCCCATATGCTCCTTTTCTATTTCCTAATTCTTGTTGTAGTATTTTTTCTTCTTGTTCTCACTTACTTTTTTCTGTTTCTTGCTTCCGTCCCGTTTTCCTTTTTTTCTCCCTCTTACTTTCTTCTGTTTGCTTTCCTTGTCATACTTCTTTCTCTTGTTGTCTGTCCTTCCCTATTTCTCTAGCTCTCCCCTTTTGCTGTCTTTCTCTCTCTTGTTTACTTTTTTCTCTGCTACTCTTATTGTTATCCCGTTTTTTTTTCCCTTCTTTTACTTCTTTTTCTATATCTGTTCCTTTCTTTCCTGTTCTTCCTCCCTTTCTCGTTACTTTTCATCTAGGCTACTTTTTTTTATTCACTTTTATGTTCTCGCTGTTTCTTTTTCTCCTTTGTTATTGTTATTTGCCTTATCTATATCCTGTCTTTTTTCCTTTTTGCTTTCCTCATCTTCCATTCTTCTTCTTCTTCCGTAGTTGTCTTTTGTTCTGGTTGCTTGTTTTTCGCTTGCTTCCTTATAGTCTCGTACTGTTGTCACTCTTGCTACCGGCTTGCTTCTCTTTGGTTTATTTTGTTCTCGTAGCTACTTACTTTATTCTTTTCTTTTCTAGATCTTGATTATTTCCCGCTTTGTCATATTCTTTCTTCTTCTTATCTTCTTAATTTCCTTTTGCTGTTTCTTTTTCTCTTTCCTTTTCGTTTTTATTGTCCTCTCATCTATTCTTTGCTTTCTGCCTCTTATTTCTTCTCTTCCCTATCCTTGTATCCTGTCCTCTACTTGCTTCTTGCCTTCTTTATCTCTCTCTATTGTTTGTTTCTCCTCTATTCCTTCCTATTACTTGCTTTCTTTGACTTGTTCTCTTTTTCTTATCATTTTCTCTTACTTTTACTCTCTTTTCTTTTTTCTTGCTCTTATCTTGTCTTTCTCATGTATTATGTACTTTGCTTTTATTTTCTTCTGTCTCGTACTATTCTCATTTTCGGCCTCGACTTTTCCTATCTTCTGTCTCTACTTCTGTCTTACGCTCTTAGTTATTTCCTCTCTCCTTTCTTTATCTCGTCTCTTTTTCTTCTTCCCTTATTCTCTCTTTATGTTTTTTTCCTTCTTCCTTTATTTTTCCTTTCTCTGTTACTACTTCTCTTCTTTTTATTGTCTTTTCATTTCCCTCTCCTTTCCTCCTCTACTTCTCTCTACTGGCTTTTCTCTATTGTTTCTAAGCCTTTATTTCTTGCACTTGTCGTTCTCTTTTCCTCTCTTACTTTCTCTTTCATGGTATTCGTTATTTCTTCCTATTCTGGTTTGTTCCTGTCTTCTTCGTTTTTTCCGTTTTTCTTTCTCTTGTCTTCTTCCTATCTCTTCGTTCCTTTCTTGCTTCTCTTTCCTTCTTTCCTTTTCTTTTCCTGATATTCTTTGTGCTTACTTTATTTCTCATTGCTCTTGTGATTCTCGCTCTTTCTGCTTCTCTATTCTCTCGAGCTTTGTGCTCTTTCTTACGTCTTGTTTTACCTTCCTTGTTTCTTGCTTTCGCTTATTTGTCCTTCACTCTTACTTACTATTTCTCTTTTTGCTCCTCTTCTCATTTCTGTCTCTCTCTCCAGCTATCTTGCTTAGGTTTTGAATTTGCTCTCTCTTTTCTTGTGTTTTTACTTCTCCTTATTGCTTTACAATTGTTGTGTACTTTTTTCTCTTCCTTTCTAACTTATGGTTGCTTTCCTTCCTCATCTTTTACCTTTTCTTTTATTTGCTTCTCTTTTGTATTATCTTCCCTCCTCTTCTCTTCTTATCGCTGTCGCTGTCTTATCTTTCCTAGAGTTATCTCTCTCTTGCTTTGCCTTCTCTCATTATGTCTTTTCTCATACTTGTTTTGTGTCTCTTTTTACCGTTCTTCTTGTTCTCCTTTCACTATTGTCTTTCTATTGTTATCTCTCTTTTCCTTATTATCCCTATTTTGTTTTTTCACAGTTCTCACTTCTTCCCTTTCGCTTGTTTCTTTCCTTTCTATATTCTTTTTGATTGTCTCGTTTTTGTTAGTATTCCATTTTTGTTTTTCCTATTTTGCTTCTTTCCTGTCGTCTGCTTTTACCTTCTGTTGTGTCTCATCACTCTTCTTCCTCTTGTGCCTCTTATTAATCTTTCCCTGTCTCTATATTCTCTGTTTCCTTCTTTTTATTTTTCTTCCTTTGCCTTTTTGTCTCGTTTTTTTTCTCTCTCTCTCTTTCGCTTCTCATGTCTTGTTTTTTTGCATTGTGTCTCTATTGCTTTTTGGCCTCCATTGTTCCTTTTTGTTGCTTACTATTTCTATGTTACCCATGCTTCTTTTACGTTATTTTGCCTCTTGTCGTGCTTCCTATATCGCTTTTACTTATGTATTTCTCGGCTATGTCTTCCTCTCTTCTGCTCTTGCTATTTCTTTTGTCTTTTGTCCTACTCATCCTTATTTCTAGCATTCTTCTCTTCCTGTTTCCATTGTTTTTTTCTCCCGTTCATTTTCTTGTATTCTCTCTTTCTTCCTTTTACCTTATTCTCTCCTACTTCCCTTTTGTCTACTCTTTCTTGTGTTATCTTTGTTCTTATCTCGCCTGCCATTTGTTCTGTTTTCCTTCTTCTTCCTGTAGTTTCCTTTTGCTTATTATCTATTCCTTCTCTTTCTCTTGCTCCTGCTTTCCTTGTTTTCTCTACCCTTCTGGTCTGTTCTCGTTTATTCTGTCTTCCTCTTTTCCATCATTTCTTCCTTTCCGTTATCGGTTCT